ACGAGGGTGGGGTCCTTCCCGAGGGAATGACATCTCCAGGCTCAAAGGAAAGAGTGTGAGTAGTAAAGTTGACTGCCATTTCCCCCACCAGAGTTCTTCATTATGATTTGACAGGCCTGAGTAACCCAGTGAGAAAAAACAGGAGAAAAACAAATCCTTTCAGCCTGGGTCTTGGCCTGGAGACTTGGGCTCCTCCCCTGGACTCCTGCTCCTCTCCGCAGCTACCTACTTAGTATGCCTTCTTGGATACCTAAAATACTTCTCAAACTTAACATGTGCGATCCTGCCCCTGATCTTGCGTTTCCTACAGTCTCAGCCTCTCAGTGGCAACCCTGTCTTTCCAGTTTTTCTGGGCAGAAAACTTCACTGTTATGCTTGGACTCACAGACCAGGAGATTCTACCAAAGGACACAGAGCGTGACTATTTCTAACCCCTGTGAACAACAGCTCTCACCTGGGTTGTTAGAGACGTCTCCTCCCTGTTCTCTCTGCCTTGTGTCCCTTGAAGCAGCCACAGTGACCTTTAAATACTCAAAAGTTAGGGGTCTGGAAGATAGCTCGGCGGTCTAAGAACACCTGCCTGGCACATGCCAGGACCTGGGTTCGATGTCCAGTACAGCATGCGGTGTGGGCCACTTCAGTGGCACATGCCTGTAATCCCAGCCCTGGCAGGTGCTGAGACAGATGAGTCTGGACTGCATAGTGAGTCCCTATACCACATCAATCAATCAATCAATCAATCAATCAATCAATCTTTATTTTTAAAAACATCACAGTCAGATCAAATCCCTTCTCTACCTAAAACCTTCCTGATGGTATCCACTTAACTCAGAGTAAAAAACCCAAAAGCCCTGCATGGTCTGCTCCTCCATTACTCCAGACTTTCATAGACTGCCTTTCCCTTGGATCCTGTTCTCCAGACCCTCCAGCCTCCTTCTGATAAGGGAGGCAGACTTCAGCTGAAGCTTTTGCCCACCCCTCAATGGAATGCGTAGCTAAGTCCCACTCTGCCTGCACTTTGTTTGATCAAAAGCCATACTACACTGACAGTTACCCTGGCCATCTACAGCACAACTGATTGCTGCGCTGTTCTGACTTCCCCAGAGTCACTTCTTCCTACAGCACTTGTCATCCTCTAATATTCTCTATTTTCTTAACTTGCCTGTTTATTTTTATATAGTTTTTTAAAAACTCTTTTATCTATTTATTTATTTGGTACAGGATCTTGCTACGCAGCTCGGATTCAGTGATCCTCCTGACTCAGCCTCCCCAGTGCTGGGATTACAGGCGTGGGCCACCACGATTTCAGCGGCCTGCTTGGTGAGGGACCTGCCCAGTATGTGGTACCAGGGATCAAACTTGGGTCCTTGAGCTTGCCAGGCAGGCACTTAGACCACCCAGCTGTCTTCTGGCCCTAATTAACCTGTTTATGGTCTGCATTTATGGTTTATGCCCAGATGTTCCCCCAGAGCCTCTTGCAGGCACAGGTGGGCTTTCCTTCAGAGATGGCTGAATCTAGAGTGAGGGATTAAGGGTGCATGATTGTTAAGTCAGTCCACTGATTGGTTTGGCATCACTTTAATCCTGGTTACCTAGATAGAGTACAAAAGAGACAGAAAGAAGCTGCTACGGGCCCTTGCTCTGCCCACCATGAACTGCTTCTCCTCTGCAATGCCTGTCTGCCATTCCGTCCTTCCTTGAAGTCAAACTGTTGTAGACTAAAATCTCTACAAACTATGAGCTAAGTAAACATTTCCTCGTTTAATTTTGGGTGTTGAGTGTTTTGTCTCAGAAATAAGAGAAAAGTAACTATCTCTTCTAGCCACCCATTCATACCCCTGCCTCTTTTTTTTAAAATTAATTTTATTGAGAAACAAATAGCCAAGTTTCAAAACAGGTTAGTAGGACAGTTACAATAATTAATACATTGCATATTGTTGTCTTCATAGTAGTTATTCATAGTACAAGATGCAGACATGATTTCCTGTCCAAATACTATTAGTACAAATCTTTCTTCTCACTGAATTAAGGGAAAGTACCTGTATATCTATCCTAACTATTTTGTATATACAGATACAAAATGGTCCTTCATTTATATCCCTTTTTTTGGTTTAGTTTTGTCCGAGATGGGTATATCCCCCTTCTTTTGTTCTGTTTTGTCAGAGATGGGTGTTCCACTGCTGTTAGAGAAGAAGTATTTGGAGAAGTCTTTAAAGGACCTTTTCATACTTGATGCCAGTTCAAATATTGTAGGTACTTGAATTCACCAAAATAACCCGATATAGTCCAATAGTCCATAATGGTAGTGAGTTATAGCAGAACTGGAAATTGTCAGAAGTTGTTGGCATTACTTTTTATACCTCGTGGTTATACTTTTCTGCTTTTTTTTTAACTTTTGTATTTTAGGGAGATCGGACTTAT